GTTTTGTATTTTTACTTTCTGGAATGGCAAAATGATTGAGTAGCTGAGAGACCTTTTCTGATCGGGTATAAAGCAGGGGTGGCCAAACTTGCTCAGTGTAAGAGCCACATAGAATAAATGTCAGATGTCTGAGAGTCGCAAGACATGGATATTACACATGTTTTTATTTTTAAAATATGCACATTTTGCTTTTTATTAACGTTAAACGAGACTGCCAAAAATAAAAACAAAAGGGGTAAAAACAGATATTGATAACTATATTTATTTGCTAATGATATTTATTTGTCTAAGAGAGAGAGAGGTGGAAAGAAAGAAGGAAAGAGGTGGAAAGAAAGAGGGAGAGAGAGAGAAACAAAGAAAGCAAATAGATGGGAGGGAGGGAAAGCATGGCTCCCCTTCGCTTCCCCAGCTGCCCTGCCAGGAGGTGCACAATAGGTGTGAAAGAGCCACATGTGGCTCCCGAGCCGCAGTTTGGCCACCCCGGTATAAAGGAAAGAACAGTCTACTTTAAATACTGATAGTAGAAGCAACATAGTTGCGTTCTAGCAGCATGGCAGGTTTTTCATTGAAACTCTGCATATTTTTACAAAAATAAACACGGCATTAAGTATTTGCCCTTTAACACAGAAATATAATAGTTAATGTGTCAACAAACATTAAAAGCAAAGACTCCTTAATGCGTAGTGTCGCATCTCCTTTTCTCTCAGCTATATGGCTACAGTTAGCAGGTTGCTTGTCTGACATATGTGGCTGCTTGGCGATCTTCACTGCTGAGTTCATATAGCCTTGGGCCATTGGATAAGGTGTTCCAGTAATCAGCAGCTACAAGTAAAGGATTTTGTGCCCTCCCTGTTCACTGGGACGACAGAACCGCTCGGATATGAAATACAGTCTGGCTGAAAAAGTTGATTAAAAAAACTAGGATATAGGTTTTAAATGGAATATTTTATCTCTGCCCGCAGAGTGTGATGGAAAATATAGACAGAAGTTATGCGTCATCCCCTTGTTCCTCCTTCACGCCACCAATGAAAACGCTAGGTACCCCCGTGCAGCCTTCAAGTGCTCAAAGGATTTCTACAATGAGACCTCTTGCCACGGCCTATAAAGCTTCAACTAGTGACTATCAGGTACGTAGGAATATGTGAGGATATTGTCCTGATCACCTTAGTATTGGATAAAAGGATTCCAGGCGTTGTGTAAAAGAACAATAAAAAAACGGCTAGTCAGAAAAAAACAATCTCTTGCTTACCATGTGTCTGACTCTCTTTTCTAGGTGGTTTCTGACAGACAGACTCCTAGGAAAGATGAAAGCATCGTGTCCAAAGCTATGGAGTACATGTTTGGCTGGTAGTAAGAAACACTAGAGTCCACTTTGCTGGAGGATGTAACAGGACTACTGGTTGGCTGTATAACTGTTCATGGCAGCATTTCAGATGTCCTGCCTTTGAAAAAGGAACTTGGCACACATGTGTTTTGCACTTTAAAGAGCAGCTGGGTGTACACCACTTTTAAGCTGTTCAACCATTGCGACTAGTGTTTGTCTTGTCTTTAGCCATGATTGCATGACTCAAGTGAGAACTGGCTTACACATCACACACGAGTCTTGCTTTCAAAACATTGTCATGTATTTCATAGTTGCCTGGTGGCACGATTGTCTTCTCCTGAAAATATGGTATTCTTTGCTGCAGCCTTAAGTCAATATTGGTTATTGTGTAAAGAGACACAGATAGGCTTTACCAATTTTAAATGAAATATTTTAGTTTGAATACTTTTCCATACGTTGATCAGTGTTCATATAAACTCTGGTAGGTTTATTCTAAATCATCAGGTGTCCCAAAAGTTTTTTTAAAAAAATCTTTCTTAATAAAAATTGTGGTGCTACAGATATGAACTACTTACTGGTTTGCGTGAATCATTAAAATACACGCCAGCTCTGTACAAATACCACTGTACGTGGAAACCCTTGAATTAGGGACAGAACTACCTTTCATAGTTCATTGTTACAAAAACCATGAAATCAGACCATTTGGGAAGCTGCAAAGTATATGATTACCTCTGTCAAATACTAAGGTGAAGTCTGGGAAATTTGTTCAACAGCCGGGGCTAACAAATGTCTCTCTCCAGGTACTGCACTTAAACCGAATTATGCAAAATTTGATTCTGTTTTAAAATTTTGCATGATGTTTTGCTAGCTACTTGCACAACAGAAGAAGTTGAACAGCTAGTCTATCTCCACAGGAGTATTAATGGGCACAGACTGAGCATTGAAATGCTCTCCAGCAGCTTTTTGAGCTCCCTAGAGAGTCTGCAGCAGTTCTTAAAGTCTCCATACTTTGTTTAAAAAATTTAAAGGGGAGATTCCAGTGTGAGCTCTCTGAGCTGAGACTTAATAGCAGGTACAAAAGTAGTTCTTTTTACGGAACACGATCATCCCTCCATTTTCACACTACTCACCTTGAAGTGCTCATTCACCGCTTGTGGGTTATATCCATCCTTTGCAGTTGGGTGTGGGTTATGTCCATCCATCCTTTGAGAGCCAGTTTGGTGTAGTGGTTAAGTGCGCGGACTCTAATCTGGGAGAACCGGGTTTGATTCCCCACTCCTCCACTTGCACCTGCTGGATGACCTTGGGCAAGCCATAGTTCTGGCACAGCTGTTCTTGAAAAAGAGCAGTTTCCATCAGAGCTCTCTCAGCCCCACCTACCTCACAGGGTGCCTGTTGTGGGGAGGGGAAGGGAGTTTGTAAGCCACTCTGAGACTCCTTTGGGTAGTGAAGGGCGGAGTATAAATCCAATCTCTTCTTTTTCTTCTTTGTAGTCATGTGACAGGCTTCCTGCACACTCTTGCTGTTCTTGGCCTTTTGGCATCACTTTGTTAGAAAGTAATGTACTGGCCCTTGAGGTGCCTTTTCATGCATCTGGGATTGGATTTGGCCTATAGAGGCTTATAAGGAAAAACTATCGGCCACTGATCGTGTACTCTTTTTGAAGAAACATCCCAAGACTAACAGATTCCCTCGAAGAAGCTTGTTGGTGAAACGCGTAGGGAATTTTGATAATTCTGAGTAATAAAATATATTTTTATTATATTTTGCACTGTTGGCTTTTGCTTTATTTTTAGTCTTCCTGTGGAGACTTATGCCAGAATAAATGTGCTTGGTCTTTAAAGTTCCACATGACCATTTGGGGTGTTGTGCTATTACAGGCAAAGACTGTTACCCCCTTGGGATTAGATGCTAAAATACTAATAAGTGCTTGGTACTGGCTGGCATGGGCATGTTGGTTGAGGCTTCACCTGGAATTGTTGCTTTGACATCTCCCGTCACTGAGAGTATAGTAGAGATTGATTACGTTTGATCTACGAAAGATAAAGTTTTTCCTGCCATGTAGGCTGAAAAGTCAGATTGATTGAGGTGCCTAAAGAAACCTTTCATGCAACTCTCCATGGTTAATGAACAATTTTTTTGCAGTAGCTTTCCTCTCTTGCATAACACAGATTGTCAGTACATAGCCACATGGTTAAAAGTCTTTTCACTTCAGTTTAGATGAGTTGTAGCTTTCGATTCACAATAAAGATGACATTCATTAAATCTTCTCTACTGAATCAATTAGGTGTTTTTCATGTAGGTCTAAGGTACCTTTTTGTTAGATACCTGTGAGTAGGGGTGTGCACAAAAAAAAATCGGGATATTTTGAATTCGGATATATTGGACCCCCCCAAAATTTGGGATTCTCGAAAAACCCAAATTCCAATACTAGTATGGTATTCAGATTCATTTTTTTCAGAAATCCCCCTTTCCACCCTGGCTTCATTATACCGTATGGGACCATTATAGTCAATGGGAAATCTATCTTCGGATATTCAAGGGTCTGGGGAGCTGTTTTTTCATCCCTCAAGTTTCAAAAAGATTGGACCAGGGAGTACAATTCTATGACCCCCTTTCAAAGGTGCCCCCATCCTCCATTGTTTCCAGTGGTGGGAGAACAGCAAAAAAAGGAAGGACTCGTGTCAAACCACAGAGTCTCTGCAGTAGAAGAAAAGGAGATTGGATTTATACCCCGCCCTTCACTTGGAGTCTCAGAGCGGCTTACAAACTCCTTTCCTTTCCCTTCCCCTCCCCACAACAGACACCCTGTGAGGTAGGTGGGCCTGAGAGAGTTCTTTCAAGAACAGCTCTGAGAGAACTATGGCTTGCCCAAGGTCATCCAGCAGCTGCAAGTGGAGAAACTGAAGGTGGGGGGATTTTTCCAAGCCCAGAAGAACCAATGCTCATATAGAGTGCCCAGGAAAACCAGTGCCACTGGCAATGCTAGTTCAACAGAACCAAGCAGAATGTGTGTGCAGGCACAGCACAGACAGGGCATGTACAGAGTGCCCAGCAGAACCAGTGCGTGTACAGAGTGCCCCAAAAAGATGCCCCTGTCCTCCATTGTTTTTAATGGAGGGAAAAAAGGAAGCATTTAAGGGAAGACACTGACTTTTGCTGGGCACTAGTACATTTCACTGGTATTGCTTGGCATTCTATACATGCGCTGGCTATGATGGGCTTGGAATCCCCCTTGCTTGGATTTGTTGAGCTGGCATTGCCACAGTGGCATTGGTTCTCCTGGGCATTCTGTACATGCACTGGTTCTGCTGGGCCCTCTGTACATGTGCTGGCTGTGCTAGCCTTGCAACCTCCCCTTTGCTTGGATTTGTTGAGGTGGCATTGCCACAGTGGCACTGGTTCTGCAAAAATGCACCCCACCTTAACGTTTCTACTGCAGAGATTCTCTGGTTTGACATCAGTCCCTGCTTTTTTCTTCTCCATTGGAAATAACGGAGGATGGGGTTACCTTCTTTGGGGGCCCATAGAATTCGACCCCATGGTCCAATCTTTTTTGAAACTCTGGGGGTCTTTTGAGTAGAGGCACCAGAAGCTATGCTGAAAATTTGGTACTTCTACCTCAAACAACAGCCCCCCCCCCCGGACCCCTGCATACCCCTGGTTAGATTCCCCATTATAGCCTATAGGCATCATTGACTATAATGGTCCCCATAGGCTATCATGGAGCCGAAGGCATTTAGAAGTGTCGCAATTCCTTTAAATGTGTTCATGAAGCTACAGCTTCACCTGGAATGGCTTTAAAGGGAGGGCACTGTCTTTAAACGCCGTTTAACTGCAGCTACCCTGTTTTTCTGGATAATCCTGAACTGGCTATGCTCGATAGCTGAAAATACACCCCCCTCTATATCCAACTGAAAGAATAGCTGATAAATACCGATAAGGTATTTTCCGGCTATTTTTTTCAGCTCAGATAGAGCCAATTGTACACCCCAACCTGTGAATTATATGGTTGCAGCGTAACCCTAAGCATGAGACCTAAGGTAGCTTCTTGGTAGATACCTATGAGTTGCATGGTTGCAGTGTAACTATAAAGCGTGGAGGTAAAAATACTGAGTTGCTGGAAATGAGAAACCAAGGGTTGGCTCCAGGGGTGACTTTCTAGTGGTGGTGTGCTCTGCTTTAGAGGAAACACTCAACTGCTAATGGATATGTGCTCTCCCACTAAGAGACCTTCATTGTCTGCAGCATAGTTCTTCTAGCAGAAGGTATGGCATAGTGCCCAACAACTGCTCCGAGGCAGCTGCAGGTCCCATCGCACAGGAAAAACATTGCAGCCAAGTTAAAGCCTCCTCCCATAGCCCTACATATGACTGTTCCCATGCAAGCCTTGCCTCCCCTCAGAAGCCTGAGCCATCCTGCTCGCTAGGCGTGATGAATCTGAGGAGAAGAATAGATGCCCAGCAGGAAATCAGCCTGCTCCCTGCAAGCTGAAAAACGAGACCTTTCAGCTCTTTGGCTGTTGTTCCTGTCAAGGCTAGTGAGGCTCACCTCACTTTATAGTCCGTTCCGCTACAGTTCCCTGTTGGTTTCTACTGTCACTATCTATGGTTGAGACACCACCGAGTGTTCCTTGCTTTTTACTTTTCAGACCGAATGATTTCTATGCCCATTTACTTAAAATGTTTTCCTGTGTACCTCTTCCCCACCAATGTAACTTAAGGCAGTTTACAAGATACAGCAATGAACCTAAACAGCTTTAGAAACCAGTAAAACTTCAATATAAAACGATCCATGTAAAATCAACAATATAGTAACTATGCAGCCCCGTGGAAGAAGAGGGTTTGGAATTAAACCACCTTGCAAGCCTTCCTAAAAACTGGTAGGGGAGGGATGAATGGCTTTCCCTTCTGCTGGGGTTGTTAAGCATTGGAGCAGCTACAGAAAAAGGGCTGCAACCGTCTGCCATCACCTGCCCCATCCTATAGAAAGGGTGAGATGGCACGAATGTTTTGACAGGCAGAAGTGGTCCTTCATCTGTAAGGGTCTGTCATAATCCTGGGCCTATAGTAGTGTGGCCTACAGGCTCCAGGGAGGCCTAGTGGCTCCAGGGAAGCCTGTACCAGAGTGACTACAGGGTCTACATTTCCCGGATACCCTCTGGACCCTGTGATTGGCTAACGGGATTTGGAGGGGAAATGACTACCAGTAGAGAGGGTGGTGCCTGGGATGGTGGAATAAAAGGCCTTGCCCAACGTGGGAGGGGGGTTCACTCCCAGGGAGCAGAGCTGGTGAGGCTGCTGCAGAAGGAGGGGGTCCCTCATCCAGGAAGGGGTGGGTCAGTCTGAGACCCAAGTACCTAGAGAAGGCACTAGGACAGCATTGTCAGATGTGTTAGGGTTACTTATTTGGTTGGTTTACCTACCTTACTGTGCTCATTTTTCCTACACGTTATTGAATCACAGTTATTGTTAAATCTCTTAATAAAAAGAGTTTGTTACTCTGCC